ATTTTCCTCATTTGCAGCCGCAGATTTACTCTTTCGAGTGATCTGGTCTGGGCCGCATTTATTTTGGTTCGCATTCGATCGCAGATTTTCTCTTTTGAGTGATCTTCTGGGTCGCATTCAGAAATTTTTGGTTTTTCCTTGACGAATTTTTGAAAAATCCGTGTTGTCCAACAACCGATCGCTTCAATTTAGTGTCAAAAAAAATCCTGAAGACTCTGAGAAATTTCCTATTGAAGTGAAATTTTTCTCACTTAAAACCGCTGATCTTCTCTTTCGACTGATGTTCTGCGCTGTATTCAGAAGTTTTTGGTTTTTCCTTGGCGAATTTTTGAAAAATCCGTGTTGTCCAACAACCGATCGCTTCGATTTAATGTCTAAAAAAATTCTGAAAACTCTGAGAAATTTCCTATTAAAGTGAGATTTTTCTCAATTAAAACCGCAGATTTTCTCTTTCGAGTGATGTTCTGGGCCGCATTCAGAAGTTTTTGGTTTTTCCTTGGCGAATTTTTGAAAAATCCGTGTTGTCCAACAACCGATCGCTTCGATTTAGTGTCTAAAGAAATCTTGAAAACTCTGAGAAATTTCCTATTAAAGTGAGATTTTTCTCAATTAAAACCGAAGATTTTCTCTTTCGAGTGATGTTCTGCGCCCCATTCAGAAATTTTTTGTTTTTCGTTTGCAAATTTTTGAAAAATTCGTGTTGCCCAACAAACGAGCGCTTTGATGTAGTGTCTAAAAAAATCCTGAAAACTCCTAGAAATTTCCTATTAAAGTGAGGTTTTTCTCAATTAAAACCGCAGATTTTCTCTTTCGAGTGATGTTCTGGGTGGCATTAAGAAATTTTTGGTTTTTTCTTCGAGAATTTTTAAATAATCCGTGTTGTCCAACAACCGATCGCTTCGATTTAGTGTCTAAAAAAATCCTGAAAACTCTGAGAAATTTCCTATTAAAGTGAGATTTTTCTCACTTAAAACCGCAGATTTTCTATTTCGAGTGATGTTCTGCGCCGCATTCAGAAATTTTTGGTTTTTCCTTGGCGAATTTTTGAAAAATCCGTGTTGTACAACAACCGATCGCTTCGATTTAGTGTCTAAAAAAATCCTGAAAACTCTGACAAATTTCCTATTCATTTTCCTCAAACCGCAGATTTTCTCTTTCGAGTTCTGAGCCTGATTGTGGAATTTTTGTCTTTTTCTTGTAAAATTTTTCAAAAATTCGTGTTTACCAACGGCAATCGCTTCGATTTAGTGTCTGGATGAATTCAGAAAACTCCCAGAAATTTTCTATTAAAGTGAACTTTTCCTCATTTAAAGCCGCAGATTTTCTCTTTCGAGTGATATTCTGCTTCAACAATTAAAAAAAAAATCCATCTTTTTTTCTATTGAAGTGAGGTTTTTCTTATTTAAAGCCACAAATGTTCCCTTTCCAGTGATATTCTAAGACGGATTGTGGGATGGCTTTTTCTTGACGAATTTTTGAAAAACTCCTGTTTACAAACGAACATGGAAACACATGGAAACTTCCAGAAATTTCTTACAAAAGTGAGTTTTTCAAAAAAGTCAGCCAAGAGTAACTTGATAGCGTACATTTATGTTTTATGTGATTATCGCGTTGAGTCGCTTCGCCCAGCTCTCCACCAGTGTGCACGCACCCTAATAAAACATACATCACCTAACTGTTGTCAGGCTATCTTCTTTTTGTGCCTCTGACGTTACTCCAGATATTCACTACCAAGTTTCATAGAAGGATTCTGGACCTGTTGGTCACCTACTGGCAATATTACGTGACAGTAAGAGACAAACCTCATGCGTTTGCGGCCCATTTACCCATTTACCTCTTCACTCATTAGACTTTGCTCTTCCTGTTGAAGTGCCATGTTCACGTTACTGGAGATCCGATCAAGTCGGATGAAATCTCCCTGGTGATCTCAAACCATCGCACCAGAGTGGACTGGAACTTTTTGTGGGCGGTGATGTACCATGCAGTCGAGGGGAAGAACCGCTGGTGGTACAGTACCAAGTTCATCCTCAAAAAGTCCATCCAGAATATTCCTGCGGCGGGTAAGAATGAGCCGAATCAGGCGTATTCAAGAACGGCTTTTTAATTGAGGAGTGTTTAGGGTGGGTGATGCAGATGGCAATGTATGTGTTTATCAATCGGACGTGGGATGAGGACAAGTCTGTCCTGGACAACTACATTGAGTATGTGGACAGAATGGATTACAAGCATCTGCTGATTCTGTTCCCAGAGGGCACAGACTTGACGCCGAAAACCATCGAAAGCAGCAATCGCTTTGCGGCACTGAACAAGTTACCTGTGAGTAAACATGTAAAATGGTCTGTTGACCGACTGGTCAGTTTTTGAAGTGATAACTTTTTATGGGAGGGTGAACCGATTTTTCTCTTCTCGGTCAGGGCGGCCCCCACTCCGGCCTCTTCGCGCCTGAGGCTTGGGACGCACATATGCGATTTGTTAGTCCGAGTGCATCTGTAGATCTGATAAACTTTTCAAATACACATTGCGTTATTAAACTGACAGTGATTTTTATTTATCAATTATTGAGTGTGATATTATTGTGTTCGGTGCAGTTTATTTTATAACGC